ACACAAACATACCATCAAACCAACGTAAGAAACACTCCTCACAGACATTTTAGCTGGTGGGGATTTTAGTTGGTAGGGTATCCTAGATATCCTTGGCCTAATTTTGACACTCTTGGTTCAGTCACAGCACTGGCAAGTGACACCTTGAGTCAGTCACGGCCAGATGTGGGACATCTAGGATAGTGAAACTAATATCAAATGATAAAATATATCAAACTCAAGTATCTTTCTCTTAAATTAGTCAAAATACGTTAATAGACATAGGATTAAAGATTGGATTAAATAAAGTAACACAGCTCTCTGTTCCCGTGTCCTTCAGGCTGATGGGATGGTGGGGACATGACCTGAAGTCTCGGTTTCAGATGACTAACGGTAAAACTCATCACAGATTCCTCACTGACCTCTGCCTCCTCAGTACCTCTCTCAAGCCTGCTGTGTGCTTTTAGAGTTGCTATTTGCTTCCATCTTGTGGTCTCATGTGAACATTACACCTGCAGTTCTGCCTATTTGGAGACCTTTATGTTTAGAGTGTAAAGAGCACACCTCTCAGGCTCTGAATGAACTGAATGGATCCTGAAGCTTTGAAAGGGTTCTTGACTTTTTCCTTCTGTTTTTAGTGATGGAGCTGCAGCCTGGAGTGAGCGGCTTCAGGCTGTCGAACCAACCAATCCTGCTGGTCTGTCCACTGCAGGCCAGTCTGGAGGTACTCCTTCTAGACATGTTAATCAACCTGAATGAAACTTATTTCATAAGCTTGCTAGGGTTCAAGGATTATTAGCATCTATTTAGTGTTCGGGAATTGTGAATCGTTACAAATTATATGTAGTTTGTGTAGTAAATGATCTCAAAACGACAACTATATTACGTGTACAATATATGCGCGCCATTGAAATTACACGTATGTTGTGGACATTATATGCAAACCATTGACATTACATGTGTGTTATGTGCAGGTTATTGAAGTTACATGTCCGTTATTAACATTACAAGTGTTATGTGTATGTTTTTGTCATTACGTGTATGTAATGTATGTATGTAGTGCACTGACACTTTGGGGTAACTGGAATTGTTGTCATGCATATCTGTAAGTAAGTGTTTATCAAACAGTGATGCTAATAGTGCCTGTAGTCGATTACAAGTTGAATATACAGCTTGAAAAAACTATATGTGTTCATTATTCATCTCTTTCATTGTTTAATTGTTGTACATGTCTATTTAATGGTTATTTAGTGTTTGCTTATTTCAGCAGTTTATTATTTATTATGGAAACTTGTTTCTGCCACTGAAAACAAGCATTTTTTGCCATACATAAGTTCAAAATTTGGGTTATTATCTCGCCTTAATTGCTTAAACTTATGGAAATAACTGAAAAAATGAGAAAATTTATTTTTTAAAATTTGAGAGAGTAATCTAAAATCATGTCTTATGGAAGGGAAAAATGCTGTTTTCAGGCTTCCTTAATATATCAGCGTAGTCTTTGCCTGAAGTAACATCTATTTTTCATTTTCTTTCCTCATACACGATTTAAATCTTGCCAGGTGTTTAACATGACCACCATGCAGGCTCTGCGCAAGAAGTCCCTCCTACTGACGGGCTACCTGGAGTATCTGATTAAGCACTACTACACTAAGGACCCGGCTCAGCCTCACAAACCTCACGTCCACATCATCACACCGTCGGACCCTCAGCAGAGAGGCTGCCAGCTTTCGCTCTCCTTCTCTGTTCCCATCAAAAGAATCTTCGAGGAGCTGGAGAAGAGGGGCGTCGCTGTGAGTATAAACCCAGATATCTGTTTCTAGTACGAGCCTAATCAGGTAAAAATACAAGAATGTAATTAATTTTAACATCAAATGTAAATTTAGTCTTTTTAAGTTCTGTGTTGTTATCATCAAACGTTTAGAAAAGGGGTTGGTCACGTATTTGGCATCTTAGCCAGTTCAGTTTTGTATTTGTTTTCTTTTTTGGAGCCAGAAGTGTCCAAAGTTTGTGAATTCAGCTTGTTTTTATAAACCGATACCTGATCATTAGTGCCAAGTACATACAAATAAAACATTAGCATTTAACTCACTAAAACCAGAGCACAGACTGGTGGAGGATCTTAGCAACTAACTTCATAAAAACAACTATAGGGACATGCTCGCTTTTGTAACTTGCCTACAGTGGCCATTGGAGGAGCTCCAGTTTTTGGCACTTTAATTCCTTGTGCTTCAAAAAATGACCACCTGAACCATTTTGAACTCTTTTGTCATTTCCTGTCTCATAGTGTGACATGAGGGAGCCCACCGTGCTGCGAGTTGCTCCGGTGCCAATGTACAACTCCTTCAGTGATGTCCATCGCTTCATAAGAGCACTGGGAGAGGCTCTGGCCGCCAGCAAGCAAGATTGGGAGAGGAACTGACTGCTACAAACTCCTGTGTTTTTTCATGATTATTAGGAAGGTTGTAAAGCATCATGCTTTCTTTAAACGCCTCAGGTCTCTCATTTTGTGCCTTTTGGAACCATTTGAGCCTCATTATCTTCACTGTATTTTTAAACTTTTTTTTATCTGTTGCAGAGATATTTGTCATAAATTCTCAGAAGTAAAATATTTTTGGTGACAGTTTAAAATAAAGCTGAGAACAGCCTTCAGATTGAGAGAGAACCCTGACGTTCCCTTGGTCTTTGTTTTGTTCTCTAGGTCTCTCTTTGAAATTGCACATAAAATATGGCTTGTTTTGCATACCTACCTAACACACCAGCCTTATTGCAAATTTTTGCAATCTTATTGTTTTTTTGAAAATTATTTTTAATTATTTAATAAAGTATATTAATGTAATATGACACAGGGCTTTTGCATGAACAGTAACTGAATACATGACTAGCTGCAGTAAAATAAAAGATGGATGTACTCACCAAAGCACGACCCACTACTTTGGAAAGTCCCAAATTCACAATTTTATCCATTGCCGTTGTGGTTTTCAGCCAATAAAGCTGATTCTGACAGGAGATACACTCTAACTGTGACTACTAGTACATCAGTAGTACATCAGTGCTTCACATACTTCTTCAACCTGCAGGTTGGCACAGTTACCATGTTGTCAACCAAAGACTACACCATGAAATCGGTATGTGACCAAATGCTACGAGACAACTAACCTTCAGTTTTAAAGCTGTGGCTTTAAGTAATGGCAAGAAAACTATTTACACAATTTTATGACACCACAGCGATGTGAAATGTATCGCTTGCATTTAAAATAGCGAATTGGATAGAAATCCTTTGATTTTAATAGATATTTAATATATTTTCTTATACGTATGGTGATGTGAAAAAGTGTGAAAAAGTATTTGAACCATTCTTGATTTATTAGCTTGTTGCTATTTGATCAAATAAAATGTAATATTAGACAAGGATAACTCAAGTACCTGGCCCTGTGTGAAAAAGTACATTTAAAAACATCAGTAATGATTTTTTCTTAGTTATTATTATTATTGCTAATTTTACCTGCTGGTTATACAAGTCTTTTCTCGTAGTATTTATCACATCTAAACAGAGTATTAGTGTTAAGGTGTTAACACCGGTGTCACACCAATTATATTTCTGTATATTTCTTCTATATAAATGATCATAAACATCTTATTTAAAAAGTGACAATTCTCAAAAGTTCGATGCTATTCAAATAATGAACTATTTGTATAAGTAGGAGAAAACTAAGAAACAACCCCATGGTTGTTTATTGTACACTTATATATAATTTATTAATAACTAATGATTGATGAGTGATTTCTATGTCAAAAGGCAAATTAAAATTTAGTTTTTTTAATTTGGAGGACATTTTTCTTATTGTCATGGCTTAGCGCAACAGCACATGGGGAAACACAATGATGCAGTTATATTGAACAAAAGTTAGATCCCACATTATGATTGCAAAAACACTTTCTTTGAACAGCCCGTATCAGAATGCTGCCGTAGCTCTCACTCCCCTCACCCCTGTGACCCTCCTCTTCGGTAGAGCATTTGGGCACGACACCCAGCGAGCTCACAGCATGAGGTTTGCAAATTACAGCATTTTTTTTTTCATTTGGGCTGTGAGGGAGGAATCTAATGAAACCCTTTTTTTCTCCCCCTCTCTCTTCCTCACCCGTCTGTACATTACACACATGAGTTAGCCGACAGTCCTCCCCTTACCAATTAACACCTACTTTATTATAACGTTGACTTCTCCCTAATGTTCTTGCATGTGTTTATGCACTATTACCTTGACGGATGCCTCTTCCACGATTAGACATAATTGGCATATCAATATGCAAAACCTAAATGGATTAACCTTCTTTAAAACTAATGAGCACTTGGATGCCCAGCTGGGGAATGGACCAAAATTAGCATTTGTCATCTTTTTGGGATGATGTGAGAATAAATAATTGAAGAGTGGCTGGTATTGTCTTTCCTGGGGCTACTTAACCTTACAGTGACTGTACTGTAAAATGGAGAAAAAAAAGAGAGAGAGAGAGAGAAGGAATATGCAGATTTACTGTCTTAATGATGACCGCCGGCTTGCTGGGTTCACACACACATGCAGGGGGGAAAAAAAATACAAAGTAGCTCCGTCTTTGCTGAGGGAAGTGGACAGTTTTGATCAAAGAATGGGCAAAGTAAGGTTTAGTTAGGCAAAACAAACTGTGGCACTTTTGAAAGGTTTTTCATGATCAGTAGAGGAGGATTAGAAATATACCCCAGATCTAAGCACTTATGGGTAGATTAAAACATTTTTAAACATCAAAACATGGGTGTAATAGAAGAAGTATTTCCAACATGTTATTGAGCTTTCCTAAAATTAAAAAAAGTTAAAATTATTGCAGTAGATTGTAATTTGTTGCTAAAATAAATTGCCCCAGAGGAAGGGCAGTGTATAACTAACTTACAGTGACTTACATATGAAAGTTTCAAATGTAAGTATTTAAGTTAAGATCAGGAAGTATTTTCAGGAGAATGAACATAAAATAAAGAGATGCAATGTTGCGAGTTCTAAAATACATTTATGAAACTGCTCCAATGGTTACAGAGCTTTTTTGCTATTACAGTGAGATATTTACACCTCTAAATACTCCAATTCAGGTCAGAGTTTTAGTCAAGATACTTCAGTACTCTTTGTTTTTAACATGTTTTCTTAGATGAGCTTCAGAAAAAGACTGAAAGCTGTAGGGGGCAAAAAACTGCTTAGCTTGGGTAGCACCAAGACAAAAATATCTCCCGAGTTAGTTTTAAACTTGTTGTTAAAATTTGGTTTCTAAACTGTAATGCCCAGCACTAAAAAGATAGAAAGACTCGCACTATGAAGTCTCAGTTTCTCAATGAATATGTCACCATGAGCCAGTGAATTCTGTGTACTGCTCAACTCTGTGAAAATTACACGGCTCCAAGAAAAGCTTGGGCATGGTGTGATCTGGCAGGAGTTCAAGGTTGTGTGATCAATTGACAGTTAAAACATAACTTTTTAAGTCCAATATCCAAAGTAAAAAATGCTCCAAAAGCTGCTTGTGTGTGGCTTAGTAGGTCAGAGAGCAAAAAGATAGTTTCGGCTTTTAGAGACAAAAGTGAACTTTGAAGTTTAACATCCAAAAGAAAAACTGCAAGCTGGCCAAAAATCAGATCAAACCTCTGACCTGATAGGTGAGGGAACATGGTTTTCTGCAAACACACAACTATTACTATTACTTGTGGATGACTTTTAATAAAATTACTTTGCCAAGTACTGAAGCCGTAGATGAACTATTAACATTGTTTGCAAATGCTGTACTTAAAAAAACATTACATTATCCGGCGATGTAGCTGATGACATATTAATACATTGCCCATCAAAGGTGACGGACAGGTTGACAGATGAGGTCCGACAGGAGTCTCCATGGAATATGATGACACTGTGATCTGCAGTGAGTGTAGGGAGCAGGTGGAAGAAAGACTGGGGAGGTGGAGGTATCCTCTGGAGAGAAGAGAAATGAAAGTCGGTAGAATCAAGACAGAATACATGTGGGTGAATGAGAGGCAGACAGGTGGAAAGTTGAAGTGGGATGAGGTTAAATACTAGGGGTCAACTACTCGAAGCAACAGACATTGCAGTGCAAGAGAGGTGAAGAAGAGAGTGCAGGCAGGGTGGAGCGGATGTAGATGAGTGTTAGAGGCAGAAGTAGGTTCAGATGTGAAAGAAATACTTCATTTGCTATCTTCAGCTGAACAACAGAACTTGTAGGGTAGCATTTATTCTAGCAAACCTTTTAAACATTTATGTTTCTAATAAATTTCATAAGTTAATGAAAGAGCTGCACATTCAGATTCACATTCATACTTACCCAAATTGTTTTGTTTCCTCGTGCTTCACCCAAACAAATCCAGGTAAAAGGCCAGGCTGGCAAACAGGAAGTGGCAGTTGTATTCAGGGCGCAGGACTATACCAAGTGTGACAAAGTACAGAGGACGGATTGGCTGTTTTAAAGTTTCCAAAGTGGAAGAGATGAGTAAATGGGTAAATGCTTATATTTTCTAAATCTTAGCAAACACATTGATTATACAGCACTATACTGTATGTCGATTATATCAACATACAGTGTTGTGAGTTTGAATAGTACTTCCAATACTAAGAGTAGGAACGCATAAAAAAATCTTGCCAAATGATTAAAATTGCAGCACAAACTAATATTGGTTATCACATACAAAGATATTTTATGGATTCCAGTCAAAGCAGATGTAAAAGAGTCCGATATCCCCAAATGTTAATCTCTTTTAAGTTAAACTGGAAACTAACTCAAAGAAAGAACCAATGTTGTGTCTACACGTAATTAGATCTTTAGGTGTTGTAGCCAGTCACAAAAACGCATCATTTGTTCCCATTTCTTCAGACATAAAATAGTATTTTTGCACCAACAAGGTGATTCTCAAAGCGCTATTAGCTGAAAACTTGGCATATCTCAGCATGACGTGCTGTGCTTTCTTAAAAAAAATGTATCTACAGCAGATGAACAGTATCTGAAAGCCAAGTCCTTAAGACACAGGAAAAAATCCAGCATCTTACATGGGCCACTGCTGAAGCAGCAGAGAACAGAACAAAAGGCAGAAACACCCAAAAAAGAGCTTTGAATGTCTTTGAAGAAGTCTGGAAAACAGGTTGCCACTATTGCTCCCCGATTGAGAAGGTGACCCATATGCCAAAAACTACTACAATGACCCAGTTTGAAGTTCACCCATGTCCTGTGTGTCATTCCCCCCTCACTAATATCCTGCTTTCCTGTCAACTCTCTCTGGATTGGCCTACTTGTTAAACACAACAAAAGCTTGGAGAACTAAATAAATGACAAGAAAATCTCAAAATATAAAGAAATGTGGGGTGGCTCAAGAGTTTTGCACAGTACTACATGCCATGAATGAAACGAAGAAGAAACAACACTTTATAATGTCTCCTGACGGGTTGGTTAAGCAGAAAATAAACTTAAACTGTGATGTTCGGCTGTTTTATCCCATAAATGTCAGATTTTTAGGAACAGGAAGCTTCAGAATCCAATTTGATTAAGAGCACTCAACAAAAGAGCTTCCTAAAAGTTCACTCAAACACAATCGACCTTTATTTCAGGTTGACTGTACTTCTGCCTCGCCCAGACAACATCGCTGGTCATATTTTAATAACCCAAACCTTTGATTGGATTCTGGCATCCTTCTGCTTTCCGTGCCTTCAGTCTTCACATGAACGCACACGCAAAGCTGAACTCCCCAGGCTGAACGCTGGTTGATGGTGGCAGCAGTTAACAGGTAATAGGGATTGAGAGCTGCATGAATCAGAACTAATTACCTTAAATAGCCACAGCCTCGGGCTTATTTTTCCAGTCCACGTCTCTCCAATTTGACAGCTGGCAAAGGTAGCTGCTGCTGCTCCAGAGGCGGCGAGGTGCTGTGTGGGACTTTTTCATCCCATTAATTAATTGTAGAGCAACTAAACCGTGAAAAGCTACAGACGGGAACTTTACTGACCGCTCTCTTGGCAGGTCTGCTGTGACAGCCGCCGAGGGGAAGCACCCACTAATAGAGTCAGGTAAAGAATGAAAATGGTGAAATAAAATTTAAAAAAAAAATGGGACTAGATTAGTTTTGGGTGGTTTAACTTCATTTGAGGCAGAGCTGAACTCGGAGCTATCAAAGAATTCCATCAAATGGAGTTTAAAGTGGATAAAAGCAGCTTGTTGTTCAAGGGTTTTGTTTGAAGAGCAGGCTTCATGAATAAGAGACGAAATCACAATAGAGACAAGAAAAAAAAAGGCAAAATATTAGCCAAAAAGAAAAAAGGAAAAAAGAAAGGAAGCAAGGGAAGGGGCGCTCTGTGCTCAGATGATTTGGAATCAGATACTACAACCTTGTTAGCATCGCAAGCTTATTTCCATATTAACGACCCCTTCAGAACCTTCAAAGTAATGAATAATTGACAACAAATGAAATGTTTTGATTGTCGTCAGCGCCCGGCGTGTTTAATGTTTCATATGTTGCTTTCCAGCTAATTATGGAGATGGCACATTTGTCAGAAATACGTCCCCCTCGCAACCCTGGCGCAACCCTCCCGCCGTCCTCTGCAGATGCCCTGTGTTTTCAGGCAGGAGGGAGGGGTGCAGACAGACACACGCACCCTGTTGTAATTAGCTAGCAGGGAGTGCTCGGCGACCTGTGAGGGGAGTCGAATGGCGTCCGCTGCTCACGGGTATTGTTTTGGCTGCAGACACAACAGAAGCTCTGCTGATGGGGTGTGTGTGTGCAACAAAATGGAAAGGTAGAGAGTGGGAATGCAAGTACAAAGGTACATGAAAGGCTTTTCGCACCACTTTTCCTTGATGGGGTTGTGCAACCTTGTCAGACTTCAGCAATGTTTTGATTGTAACGTCTGTGCAGACCTTTCTAGATTAGACTCACTGCATTTGTTTTAATCACAAAAGATCGCTTGTTGAAAAGAACTAAAACAAAATATAGCCTTATATTGTGTTAACCCCCACATGGGACCTCTGGGGGTCGCCAGCAGTGGGTAGCACCAGGAGGGTGGAGTTTTTGGTTGAGGCCTTGGAGGATTCTTATGCTCTGTTGGGGAGTTTGGTATAGCTGTCAAAGTAAGACCTTCACAAGGTTTCCCAGCAGAACATTGGAGTTAAAGAAGAAGCTGTCTGCCTCACCTGTCGGTGGATTTTATGTTTGTCAACCAGGTAACCCGAGGCTGCTCTCTGTTTACTGCAGATTTTTTACTACCATGTATTGAGCATGTGAGAGTTGGAGGGTCCCATGTTGCAGACTGACTGAAGAAGAAAGTAAGAACAGCCAGGAGGAAAAAACAATAAAGAAAGAGAGAGAAACAAAGAAGGAAAGGATAGATGGAAGAGAAAAGGGGTGAAAAGAACAAGAAAGGAAGAAAGTTCAAGAACATAAAGAGTAAAAAAAGTAAGAATGTAAGAAAGACGAAGAAAGACAGAAAAGGAAAGAAAAATCAAAACACGAGGAGAGAAAAAAATCAGCAAAGAAAAAGTACAGAAATGAGAAAAGCAGGGACAAGCAGTAAGTGAAAAAGATGAAGTTAGAAGGAAAAGAGGTTGAAAGAACAAAGAATAATGGAGAAAAAAAGAAATAAAAAGAGAAAATGTGAGAAAAATTAGAAAAAAGACAAGTAGAGAAAAAGATAAAAAGAATAAAAGAGATAAAAATAGATATGGGGAAAGAGATAGAAAGGAAGAAAGAACAAAGGAAAAGTAGAAAAAGAAAGCGTGAGTGCAACAAAGAAAAAATGAAAGCGATAAAGACACAAAGTAAAACAAAAACTAAACAGAAAAGAAAGTGTAGGAATGTAAAAGAGAAAGTGAAAGAGAAATACAAAGGAGAGAAAGATAGTCAAGAAAAAGAAACAAAGACAAGGTGACAGGATAAATGAAAAGACAACAGAAAGAAAGAATAAATCTATGGTTGTTTTGTCACATCAGGTGGTAAAAATAAACAAAAATAATACCATATAGTACTACCTCTGTAGAAAACATGTAGGGACCAATCAGAACAAGTAGTGAGGGGAAGTCCCCTGTTACCAGTTCATCTGATATCATCAGCCTGGTATAAAAAATAAGCTTAGTGTCTCTAATCTGAGCCTGAAATTATATTAAATCTCAGCTGTTCTGTTTTTTTTCTCCTTTTTTTGCCCCCCTTCATCCCTGAAAACATCTTTTCAGACACGGTTAGTCTGAGATCAACTTGTTGTGCAGACACCTTGTCTCTCCGATGCACCTTTACAAGACGACAGACAAACCGGAGCTGACAGAGGTCGTCTGTGTCACGCTGACAGACAGCTGGAGAGAGCGTGAGCGCTATATTTAAACTGCGAGTGTTTGTTTGTGTACATCTGCGTGAGCTCGCGCGTTTATCCGAGCATGAGTGTGTGCGCGATGGTTCAGTCAGGTCAGTGTATCCTGAAGACACTGTCAGGCAGGATTGATTTCCTCTCTCTCGATCCGTGGACACGTTCCTGTAACACAGCTGACCCCCCGAGTTGCGTTACCTTGTCATTTTGCGACACGGATCAAAGCGGAGACGAGCTGGAAATAGCCACACGACGACCTTGAACTCTTGGAGGAAGCGGTGGAAGGAGGAGCAGATGTGAGTGCCAGGGCAGAGGTTCAGTTCAGATTTCAAGCAACAGTTTCCAACTAAAAGTGAGCACACGTCAAGGGCTGTACTACAACTTTGATTTATTTATGATGTTTTTATTACACTGCGATGACGCCTCCGTGCGCTTTCATATGATCTATTACTGTGTTTTTTAAAAAAGTTTTTTCGAGGCCAGCTTTGACCTTGGGCGCTAAAAGTGAAGGTCAAATTCAAATACTTAGCTAACCTAGGTAGTCATATCCTCCAAGGCCTATGAAGGTTGAAAATGATCCATAAAACACCGTGGGTAATATAAAACTTTTAATGATTTTCACATTTGGTGCAACCTTAACCCAATTTTCGCCTAAATTAAATCAGCTCGGACTGTTATTGGTATCTACCATCACACGAAATTTGAACATGATATCTTGAAAACTGTGGATGCTACACCGCTAACAAACAGACATTAAAAAAAAAAATTAAAAAAAAAAAAAAAAAAAAAAAAAAAAAAAAAAAAAAAAAAAAACAGACAGACAAAAAATGGACCCAATTACAAACTCCCTCCCTTCAGGGTAGAACAGTGAGCTCAATATACATCACCCTTTTTTAAAGCTTATAACCAGTGATATTTGGAGTCACTGGTATTCACACATGTGACTTTGTGTTTCATCAGAGCCTGACTGACCAAACAAGTCTGAGTTACATATATGTGTATATATACA